CCCCAAAACCCCAAAACCCCAAAACCCCATAAGTTCTAAATTACTTATTCTCTACGTATTAAAAAATGTTAATAAGCTAAGTAATAATATTATTAACTTTAAAATGAATGTAGACAAGAATTTGATAATAAAACATTCAGTTTTCTATTGCATCATCTTTGTTAATATTGGAATAGAATTCGCTTACAGATAGCCTCTGTATGATGCAAGCTTAAAAATATAGCACGATATCTAGGATAATTGGACATAAGCAGGTAAAGATACATTCTGGGCCTTTTCATTCTGGGGTAATGGTGCTCCTTACTACTTGACTTTTGTTTTCATGCTTAATTGGACCTCGAGAGCAAGATCATTTTACTACCTTCTCTTCCTAACTTTTACAATTTTCATAATGAATATTACTAAGATGGCCTATCATGAGCCAAGACCTTTCATGAAGGATGATGATCTTGAGCCCTATGGTTGTTCTGCAGAGTATGGCAATCCAAGTGGGCATTCTTTATTTGCTGGTGCATTTAACACTTTCTTTTTCCTCGATTTATGCCATGGAGATTATAGCCCAATGCAAAATTAATCAAAATTCAAATACTACATTTTGCTTTTTCTATCTATTTCATTGACATCATTGATCTGCTTTGCTCGACTTTACGTGAATGTTCACACAATAAATTAAATTCTATATGGATTAATCTGGGGTATTTGGATAGCGTTTTATTTTCACTTCTGCTTAAGAAAGGATGTCCTAAGACACATAAATTCAATCACAGTAAGGTCTTAATCAAGGTAGATTCCCTATAGCTCTTGTATTTTGATATCAACAATAATCGCTATAAATGTATTAATGGGTCAGATTGTTACTTTTCTTATCGTGGATGATAATTTTGAGCCTAATCAAGAGTGGATTTTAAATATTGAGAAGAAGTGTAAAGTGAATATTAAAGATAACAACAATGTTCTGAATTATAAGTCAGTAGTCTATAGTGGATTTTGCATGGCATCCTACGGTGCATACCTAGGTATACTATTTAGTAGGAAGAAATTTGGCTAGGTAACAGAAGATATGCATGATAAAGCAATAGTTAAGTTTCTGGCAAGATATCTAATAATTGGATTGCTTACTCTTCCATTTTTGCTGCCATTTTTCTTGATTTAATGGACAGCATCGTTAGCAGTGTTAATCATTTTCAAGACATTAGTACCATTCATCTGTGTTGGATTTGTTATTTATGGCCCAACTATATATTTCTTTAGGAGATTTAACTTAGTCAAAGAGACAATAGGAAGCTCTTCTGTAAACTATAGAGAATCTTCAGAATTTTAATGATAATTTCACCTCATCTAATCTCTTATATCATCTTAATTTAATAATTACTCAGAATTGCTAATTGTTCTGACTAATGGGGTTTTGGGGTTTTGGGGTTTTGGGGTTTTGGGGTTTTGGGG